GCTTGCAATTGTGAGGCTCAATCCTTTGTTTAGAATCTGTTTATGTGCCAGGAATCACATGGCTGGCTCAACTTAGATCTCAGGCAAGTTGGGAGGATGAAATGAAACATAGAAAACTGCTTATATTATTAAGTCCTTTTCTGAAAGCATTGCCATATAAAGTTGAGGATACTTCTTCCTCCATTTTACACACACCAATTTTATATTAGAAGGCCTGTGCCTGGATTTGATTTATATTCAGAAAAGTTATTTATATTGATTTAAAACATGTTTAGGCATTATGAGTCTTCTCAAAGCTGGTGCTCCTCTCATGCAGAACGGTTGTGTTCCCTCATCTTGGTAAGTCACAGTTTCTTTTAGATGTGGGTTTCCACATTGGTTGAAGCCATCTATATGAAAGCCAACCCCCACCCCACCCCCAGCAAAAAAAACAACAACCCGACAATAGTTTGATCATGTGTGAATTAATCCCTGAGGAAAAAGTTCCATTTCAACAAGGACAACCAATGTCAGATTATGCGGTGAATGCAAGGACACCAAGTCACCATTTACACTTGGCCATAAGGATTATAATTTTGATAAGGGAAATTTCTCCCTTTGTTTTTTATGAAATTGGAAAGGAAGGAAGAATAGATCCCCCTTATCTTTGCGAGTGGGCTGTATTCTTTCTGCCTTGCTCAGCCAGTAGACATGGGCTGAATTCATTAGAGTAGAACTTTGATGGAGAAGAATTTCTTTAATCCCAATGTGCATTGGTTGCAAAGGTGTATAGCATAAATGGATATGAATATACGAAACATGGATATTTTCCAAGACAAATGTCCTACTTTCAGGGGAATGGACTTTTATATATAAAAAAAAAACCCTCTACAACACTGACCATGTTGCACAACTGGTTTATGAGACAAATTGCTGAAATATGTGAGAAGTAAGAATATTCTTTTCAAATATTTCTATAATCTTTGAAGGAAGGAAGGAAGGAAGGAAGGAAGGAAGGGAGGGAGGGAGGGAGGGAGGGAGGGAGGAAAGAAGGAAGGAAGGAAGGAAGGAAGGAAGGAAGGAAGGAAGGAAGGAAGGAAGGAAGGAGGAGGGGGAAGGAGGGAGGGAAGGAGGGAGGGAGAAATCAGTTTGTATTTTGCTTAGAAATATTGGCAATAGTAACTTCCATTTTGATTTTCCATTACTGTGGATTGGTCAGAATGGGGCGTAGTAATTCCCACAAACAGAGAAGCAAAATCTATGACACATTTCTGAATATTTAGTATCCCAAAGGTGCTTTTTCACGAGGCATCTGGTCTTTCATGTTTTTCTTTGAAGACGTTTCACTTCTAATTCAAGAAGCTTCTTCAGTTCTGACTGGATGGTGGGGAATGGAAGGATTTATACTCCTTGCAGACAGCTGGTCATTTGCATTCTTTCAGCGAGTCATTAAAGCTACCTGGAGGCTTATCTGTGTCCTCAGGGTCACCTGAGTAATGCAAATGGGTGTGGAGCCTTCCTGGAACTGCTGAAAGGACTGTTGTAGACTGGAGATGGATGGTGTCCTATCCCTTCCCCCTCTGTTGAGAGAGAGCTGTTCAATTCTGACATAGATGGCCTCTTTGACCCCTCTTTCAAACCAGCAGTTTTCTCTGTCCAAAATGTGAGCTTTGCTGTCTTCAAAATGGTGGCATTTGTCTTTTAAGGATAACTTAAAATTAGTCTACGAGAATCTCCGTAGACTAATATTCAATATGCTTTCTGAGCAGGATAGAGAGCAGAATTGTGTATTATCTATTGGGTTGCCATTGTTCCCTCATTAGCAAGCCTTTTTCAAGTTATGACTACTTCACCCCCTTTTAAATGCATAGCACTGAAGGCAAAAGGAATATATCAGTTTCATTTACTCATTAGATTTTGTTTGTATAGAAGCATTCCTGTTTTCCCCCAAACAACTCAATGAAGAATCATGGACAAAGAGAAAATGGCTGGCCCAATGACACCAAATCAACCTCCACGAGGGTAGACTGAAGCTCAGTCAAACATCTTAATCATTGCACTCTATTAGATCTCATCCTCATCACTGTCATAATCATTTAGTTGCAAACTATAAGAATGGCTATCAGGGGGGAAAAAGAAAATATATTAAAGTCAGGTGTTTTTTTAACCTCAAGAATATATTCTTCAGCTTCTACAAATCTATCCTGATTGGGGACTTGGGCATGGCCTCATAAGACCAATTTCCCAAAGGTATGATAGCAGGCCATTGAATATTTCATCTGTGCTTCTTGGCAGAAAGAAGAGTAGGACTCAATCGATTGTCAGACTGAGTGGTTGATTTTCCAAAGAGGAAAAGGTAATAATATACTTCTACAGATATTTACCTAAAGTTTTACCTTTACTTGGTTTCAGAAGTCCCTCTAAGCAATTAAAAAAAATAAAACAGGTAATATCTTTATTGAGTTTAGAAGGAAAGTAAGTTTTTGGAAGATAGGTGAACAATGGACAAAGAAATTCTATTCACTGTAGTTTAAGAGCTTTTGACGGCTATTTATTTATTTGAGTTTTATCCCATCTTTATTACTTTATAAGTAATCCAAGGGGGCGAATATTCTTAATACTCCTTGTTCCTCCTATTTTCTCCACAATAACAACTGTGTGAGATGAGTTGGGCTGAGAGTGAATGACTGGCACAAAGTCACCCAGCTATTTTGTTGAAAACAAACATGTCCAAATCAGAGTCTAATTTATTTTGGGAAGCTTGAAAAAGCTGAAAATAAGGATATTATTTCTTTATTTCCTACTTGATGATATCTTGGGGGATTAGGTTCTTGGCTTATGCCACAGTAGATGGACACTCTTGATACATAGACCTTTGATATTTTTATTTAAATGCTCTTGCCTTCTTTTATTCCTTCCTTATAAATTTCATTAATTATTTTTTTTTACTTTATTTTACTTATTATCACTCAAGGGTTCATAACTCTAACTATATTGTAAGGCAGGCTAATTATGACATATTTGAAAATAAGAAGTGAACTGATCTTTTGGAAACAATATGGACTAGGTCTTCTATACTATTTGGTGAACTTGAGGTTTTGAAGATTTTGTTGCCTATGTGTTAATAGGAAAGGAACATGTTGCTCTCATTCAATAGCATATCTCTGTCGGTCTATCATCTAGCTAGCCCTATCATTCATCCATCCATCCATCCATCCATCCATCCATCCTTCTTTCTTTCTTTCTTTCTTTCTTTCTTTCTTTCTTTCTTTCTTTCTTTCTTTCTTTCTCTCTCTCTCTTTCTCTGTCTGTCTCTCTCTGTCTCTATTGTTTTTTCTCTCTTCTCTTTCTCTGTCTGTCTCTCTCTGAGAGACAAAGAAAGAAAGAAAGAGAGAGAGAGAAAGAGAGAGAGAGAGAGAGACAGAGATAACAAAAAAGAAAGAGAAGAGAAAGAGACAGACAGAGAGAGACAGAGACAGAGACAAAGAAAGAAAGAAAGAAAGAGAGAGAGAGAGAGAGAGAGAGAGAAAGAGACAGACAGAGAGAGACAGAGATAACAAAATTCTCTCTTCTCTTTCTCTGTCTGTCTCTCTCTGTCTCTGTTTCTTTCTTTCTTTCTCTCTCTCTCTCTCTTTCTCTCTCTCTCTCTCTCTCTCTCTGTCTCTTTTTTTTTTTCTTTCTCTTCTCTTTCTCTGTCTGTCTCTCTCTGTCTCTGTTTCTTTCTTTCTTTCTTTCTTTCTTTCTTTCTTTCTTTCTTTCTTTCTTTCTTTCTTTCTTTCTTTCTTTCTTTCTTTCTCTCTCTCTCTCCATTAAAGCTTTGTCTAAGTTGCTCTTTTTACATTGCAAATATACGAATACTTTACTAGAGAGTAATTCTTCAAACACATGATGCTGATTTCTAATCCGCCATCTATATAATTTGCACTGCACTACACATTTGCTCTAATTAGCAAGTATACCAATCTTGACTGTTACACTGATCTTGACCCTTGGCCAAGATTATGTCATCTCCATAGAAAAAATACAAGGATTTATAAGCTATATATGAAAGGATTCTTCTTGATTCTCCCATTAATGTTGCTTGTTGGAAGGCAACTGGGAAGGTCAAAAATGGGAATCAAATGATCCCGAGATGTTACAACTGTCATAAATTCATGCCAGTTGCCAAGCACTTGAGTTTTTGATCACATGACTGTAGGGATGCTGCAACTGTCATAAGTGCAAGGACCATGTGTTAATAGGAAAGGAACACGTTGCTCTCATTCAATAGCATATCTCTGTCGGTCTATCATCTAGCTAGCCCTATCATCCATCCATCTTTCTTTCTTTCTTTCTTTCTTTCTTTCTTTCTTTCTTTCTTTCTTTCTTTCCTTCCTTCCTTCCTTCCTTCCTCCCTTCCTCCCTCCCTCCTTCCCTCTCTCTCTTGCTCTTTCTCTCTCTCTCTTTCTTGTTCTTTCTCTCTGTCTTTCTCTGTGTCTCTTTCTTTCTTGACTGTTACACTGATCTTGACCTTTGGCCAAGATTATGTCATCTCCATAGAGAAAATACAAGAATTCATAAGCTATATATGAAAGGATTCTTCTTGATTCTGTCATTATGAAAGTGGAATTGATTAATAAATAAATGTATTGGAAGGAGGGGAGGTTGGGAATTTTCTCTATATTTCAGTAAAAGTTCTGGATTCTTCCCTGATTCGTTGTAAAGAATGTATAGGCTTCCCAACATTGAAGAACTACAGTATCCAACATCTCTTACCACTTGGACATCTTAGCTTAGGCCTCTGGGGTCTAATTCAGAACAGAACTTGGAGGTCCACCTTTGAATATTATTGTATTATAAAATAATTCTCATGCAACCTATATTCAAGTAAATATTGCTTATCTTTGCATTATAGTTTGCAATGCATGGGTTCACATTAGTTAAACTGTAGTTCATTGTTTCATGTTATCACTGATTAGTAGAAGAAGGTGTTGAAAGTTGCAGAACTAAATAACTCTTGTTTCTCCTTGAAAGGTTCTGTCATGTTCATGAATGTCTCCAGAGTCACAGAGTTCGTCTTCCTAGGACTTTCCAGATCTCGTCCCATCCAGCTCCTTCTAGCGGTCTTGGTCATCATGTGCTACTCTGCCATTCTACTGGGCAACCTTTTCATTGTATTGACGGTGCATATAGATCCACGCCTTCTAAAGTCACCCATGTATTTTTTCTTAGCCAATTTATCCATCATCGATACTGCTTTGGGTTCAGTGGTTGTTCCCAAGGTGGCAACAGATCTGATCACCTGTGGCAGGGCTATCTCATTTGGGGGCTGTATGTCTCAGCTCTTTTTTCTACACTTCCTTGGATGTTCAGAGATGTTTCTTCTTACCCTCATGGCCTACGATCGCTATGTGGCCATTTGCCATCCATTGACATATACAACCAAGATGAACCGCCCACGCTGCATTAGACTGTTGTGTTGGTGTTGGGCTGGAGGCCTCCTTCACTCTGGCAGCCAGCTGTTCCTGGTGCTGCGGCTGCCATTCTGTGGACCAAATGAACTGGACAATTTCTTTTGTGATGTTCCACAAATAGTCAAACTGGCTTGTGCTGATACCCAAGTGACTGAGATACTCATGGTGGCCAATAGTGGCCTGATCTCTCTGGTTTGTTTCATCATCTTGCTGATCTCCTATGGCATCATCCTGAGCACGCTTCAAGGCCGCTTCAAGGAGAGTGGAGGGAAGGCTCTGTACACCTGCAGCTCTCACCTGACAGTGGTCAGCCTTTTCTTCCTACCTTGCCTCTTTGTGTACCTTGTCCCCATTTTCAGCGCCAGTCTGGACAAGGTAGCATCCATATTTTATACCACAATCACTCCTTTTCTTAATGCTATGATATACACTCTACGAAATCGGGAAATGAAAGAGGCAATGGGCCGTATGACTAAGAAATACATTTTTACCCACTGGTTTCAGAAGGAAGGAAAAACATAAGCACACATCTCAAAAATCTGTTTTAGTCTCTGACAACACCTGCTTACCAGTAAATGACAAATGCTAGTGATGGTTAACTCCCCAGTCCAAGCCTCTTTTTAGGGCCACTAGAGCAGCGGTTCTCAACCTATGGGGTCGATCGACCATTTCACGGGGGTCGCCAAGCAAGGCTGTCCGCCATTTTTTTCCCCCTTTTCCGGCGGGTGCCTTACCTCCCTTGAGCTGGGCCAGCTGGTGGTCGGCCTGCTCCATCTCTGCCACTTGCCAGCTACGCCTCGGCCAGCGCAGGGGGCGGAACCACGCATGCGCGGCGCTCCCAGGCAGGGAAAGTCCTCGACTTACGACCGGTTGGGTAGTCCTCGACTTACGACCGGTTTAGTCCTCGACGTATGACCGGTTTAGTCCTCAACTTACGACCAGTTTAGTCCTCGACTTACGACCGGTTGGGGTTGCGGCATTAAAAAGGTTGAGAACCACTGCACTAGAGTCACCCACATAGAGTAGGGCTCACCTGCTGATTTTACTGGTAATGTGAATCCCTTATAGTTTATCCATCTGTTGTTCTTTGATGTCCTCTGCTAATTGAAATTAATATTTAAATACAAAACAGATTAGGTTGCTGAGGAAAAAAGTCAAATAAACTATTAAATTATTAGATTGCAAAGAATAGGGAAGGTTTTCCTGTTTGAGGTGGGGATGATAAACTTTATTGGGCAAAGTGGTTACCCAATTTGTTGTGGGCTATTTTCACCTCTTAGAATATAAAAATTCAACACCTAATGATTATTATTTAGTCAAGGAATGTCAGGAGAAGCCCAAAAATGACATACAACAATCCAGCAACAGTTCTTTATTCACTCAGGACCAATAGACAGACTCTTGCCAGGCTAAACCAATAGTAATCCCACCCTAACAGATAAACTGAGGGTGATTCCAAGGAGTGGCTATCCTAACTCTCTTGCTCTATCTGGAATCAGCTCCAGTCTGCATTGCCTCTTGTCTTCTCCCCCTCCTTGTAATGTGCTCCCCCACTTCCTGGGAAACTGCGGCTTCACTGTAGTCCATCATAAGAAGAAAATGGGAAAGCAAATCACACAGTTGTATTAAAACCCAGATTTTACTTTTTTACCCAAAATGGAGGGGCTTTTTTGCTTCTAAGCAAACACAGAGTGAAACCTGGAATATTCCAGATTGTGTAGCATTTAAACACAGGAACAAACACATCCACAGAGAGTTATTATAGCAAAGGGAGTCATGAATTCAAATTTGCAATTTCAAATTTATCCCTCTGTCACATAAACATTTTTAGTAGTCTGCTTCCATTTATGATCAACATGCTATAAACTCTACTGGTGGGAGATCTCCCTATAGAATGCAGTGTACTGTCTATTGGTTTCAATAGTTTTCCATTACCTATGGCTACCCTAGCCAATGACATTTGAAATCCTTTCACCATGCCAAAGCTAACATCACCCATTTTCTCATTAAAGCCCACTTCTAAATTGCCCCAATACAAAGAATGGCTCCACCATTACTGGTATTATGACACATTTTAGGCTGAAGCTCCATGTAGAACTGAAGAATATAGAGGGAAACAGCTTGCTGCTCCCAGTAATAATACGATGGATTTTCAAGAGCCTGAGAACTGATACAAATACCTATGCTATATATAATTTATATAATGCTAATATGGTCTATCTCTCAATCTCTATCCCAAAGAAATACAGAGCTATGGGTTAGATTTGTAGATCAGGCTTAATTTGGATGCAGATCTAATACTTTTCTGGCGTTCGCACCAGACACGGAATCATAACCTCATGAGTGAAGCCAAGGATAATGCTAAAATCATGCTTTGCACTGTAAGTTAATAGAAAAACATAACATACTCAGTGCCCTGTTGTGTCAGGCCCCTTGCCCATCTAGTCCAGCTGTTGGTCATTATAGCGACCAACCAACTGCACAAAGAAGCCCATTAGTCTCACAGCAGATGGCCTTTGGAGGTGGTCACACTGCCAACAAGGCTAATACATTGATCCCCATGACTTTCATGAATTGGTCCAACTTTTTCTTGAAGTCCTCCTAGTTGATAGCCAGCAACAAATCTCATGTTAGCAACTTCCAAAACTGAATTAAGCATTATATATATATATTAAAAATCTTTTTACTCGTCCTGATTCCTACAAGATTCTCACCTCCTTTCTAGATTAAAAAACCTCAAAGGTTGCAACCTTTTTTCATAAGGTAGCTGCTCCACTTCCTTGATCATCTTAGTTGTCCTCCTCTAAAGCTAACTTTGTTTGACTTGGGTGGCTCACAGACAATAAACAGACATATATACAATCCACATGAAGACATACCAATAAATGTATCACATGCCCAAGAAGAGACTCCCAACTTTCCTAGACCAAAGCCTGGGAAAAGATCCAGATCTCAGAGGGAACCTCATTCCAAAGGATTCATGTCCATGTCAGAAAAGGCACACTTGTAGAATCCTGATAGATAATATTGCTTGATCAAAGGAACCTGGAGCGTCCCAACCCTGTCAGAATAAACTGGCCTACTCAGCTGATGCCATAGGAAATAAGTGATCCCCCAAGTAACCAGACTCTATGCCATGTAGGGCTTCATAGGTCATAAGAAGGGCCTGGAAGGAATTAGCAAGCCGGTGCAGTTAACAAAGCAAAGGCATGCTCGCCATTGCTTGTACTGCTGCATACTGGACCAGTTGAAGCTTCCAGGTGGCCTTCAAGTACAGCTTCACGTATAGCATGTCATTAAGACCTCGACAACTAGGCCATGAGCAACTATCTGAAGGGCTTCCTGATCTAGAAAAAGCTGTAGTTATGGCAAACCAGATGAAACTATGCAAAGGCTTTTCTGCCATTGGTGCCACTGTTCATCCAGCAGGAACTGTGAGTCCAAGAAGACCCCAGATTATGCACCACTCCTGAATGGGGAAGTATAACCCATCTATGGTTAAAGATGAAACGTTCCCAACATCCACAGTCACTCCGTCTTGGTTGGAGTGAGCCAAACGAAACTCACATAACTTGCAAGCGTTGAATGTTGAAAGTTTCACCTGGCTTGGGATGAACAAATGATATTGAGCCACAAACCTGCCAATGATCTCACCCAGATGTTTTATGTAGCTTTTGAACATTAGAAGAGGAGAGAGTTGAATCCTGAAGCACCTCACAATGAAAGACCTGGCGAATGATGTCTCCCCTCAACCAACACCAACTTAAACTATCCCAGAGGAAGAAAAGGCCTCCGTAGAATGGTACCCCCTATTTCCAACCCCCAGAACCAACACAGGATGATATCATGGTCCACAATATTGAAAGCCACTGAGAGATCAAGGAGCACAAAGGTGGCTATACCACCTTCATCTTGGTTCTGCCCCGGGTAATCAACAAGTGTAACCAAGACCATCTCTGTACTAAATCCTGACCTGAATTCCAATTGCAATGGGCCTAGATAAATCTCTTCTTCCAAGGTTCTCGTAAACTGTTGATTAACAACCTTCTCAACAATTGTTTGCCTTAATAGGGAGACCAGACAGGAAACACAACCAGATGAGCAAATTATACTTTACTATAAAGCTAGCAGGAGAGAGGGACAGGGACAGGGAAAGAGGGAGAGATCCATATTTTGGTTATAAATAATTTGCAGTAATTAGCTTCCATTTTGATTTTCCTTTGGAATGGAGCCCAAGTATTAACACAAACACAGACAAGCCAAAACTGTGACACGTTCCTATTAAATGTGCTTCCTGAGCAGGATGGAGGTCAATATTCAATATTATTTTCTCATTACAGAATTCCATCAGCAAGACTTTCTAAAGTCTAATTACAGGTAGTTCTCAACTCACAACTATAATGGAGCCTGAAATTTCTGTTATATGTCATGATGAACATAAGTCAAAACACCCACAAGGCCGACCCAATTTTACAACATTTTTGTGGCAGATGCCATGGTTATAAAATGAAGTCATTGTCCGGAATGGGCATTTTTTGCCAGAAACAAAGAAGTAAGCAGTTGTTTTTGGCAATAAACATAAATCACAGTCACATGACTACAGGATATTGCAAACTGTCATAAATGTGGGCCAGCTGACAAACATCCAAAATGCAAACATATGACTGTGTGTGTGTATGTGGGGGGGTGGGGGAAGAGAAACCAACAAGGGTTGTTGGAACTTTAACTATGTGTTTTGGGAGTCCATCATAACTGACCAGTCGTAAGTTGAGAACTACATGTACTTAAGCACTACATTTCTATGTTCAGTATAGGAGACCACAGGGACGCATCCTTTATTTATTTGATTTGTATTCCATCTTTTTTTAAAATACATATTGCTTCCTCTTTTTCTGCCAAGTTTCAACAACCCTGTAAGGTAGGTTGGGCTGAGAAAAAGTGACTTCCTCAGAGTCTTGATGAGTTTCCACTGCTGAGTATAAACTAGAACCTGTGTCTCTTCATTGCCAGACAAAACCTTTAATCACTGCACCACACTAGCTCCCTGTCAAGTTTTGAAATCCCATCTTGCTGGCGTGGCAGACATTGCTTCTCAACTTGCCAACAAGCTCAGGGGAGGGGAGAGGCTTGGAATGCAGACTTCAAAGATTAAGAAAGCAGACCGTGGGAATCAAGGACAATGGCCAGGTGTCTGCTGGATCTAGAGAAGCTTTCTCATAACAATATTTTCCAACTTGATTGGCTAACGTGACCTGACCCAGAGGGAGGAGGAAGAAGTCAATGCTTTTACTATGGGTGAAGGGGTTTGCCAGAGCTGGTTTTACTTTCATATGTGCTGATATGGTGTACTCAATGAAGTTTTGCATTAAGAGCCTAAAGAGACTCGGGAGTGTTTGCTTCATTGGGTTCGCTAGTCAGAACCTTGACACACTCATCTTGGTCAGAGAGCCAAACCAAGCTCACATAACGTGCAAACATTGGGACTGAACGTTGACAGCTTCACATGGCCTGGGATGAACAAA